CCCCAAAACCCCAAAACCCCAAAACCCCGTTTATATGAAATTTTACATCTGTGTAAAAGTAAATTTAAATAGTAAATAAAGGTTAAGTTAATGCTAAGAGATCCATATTTATCATTTGGGATCTGGTAATGACCAGCTCTCTTTAATTGGGCCAATATCAGAGATAATTTCTCTGTGATGAGACCAGACTAACTTAATAGCTTCTTTTGATCCAATTCCTGCACCTCTTGGATCTCCACTAGGGCCAAACCAATGATTTTGAGGAGCTCCAGTTGTTCTAGCTCTTAATCCTGTGTAAGTCGTGCCATTTACTGTGTTTTAAAGAATCTTGTCTACAAATTATGGATTATTTGACACTACAGCAGCAGTAAGATGATGAGTCATATTTTCCATTATTTTTAAAACTTAGTCTACATTTTAATCACCATATTCAACAATAACTTGGAAAGGCCCAAAAAGTTCAGTTAATAATGTACTTCTCTATTTTCTATTAGCAAATCTGTAGATTGGAACTTTAATTGCAGTAGGTTTATATGCTCCATACTATGGAGGAATTGAATGACCCTGTAGTGCTTCACCCCCAAAGAGTAATTCAGCTGCTTTCATACTTTTAACTTTATCTACGTGATCTTAGATTTATTAATTTGTCCAAGAAAGAACAGGTCCAATAGTTTAATCTTCTAAGCTTCTTTTCTCAGCTTAAGATTTAAGGGTATCGTAGAAATTTGTTTTTTTCCAGTTTTTGTGGACGAATAATATTGATTGAGCAGAGCATTTTTAGCCAGTATGGCCATAAGCATCTTAGTCACATTGCCAAGCAACATAATCTATCTCCTATTAACTCTTTGGAACATCTGGACCTAGAATTTTCCAGTCAAATCCTGCATCTTCAATTCTAACTTTTCCTCTTAGATTTTTTGAAAGCTATTCAGCTATTTTTGACGATCCAGTAAATAAGGTTTATCTGACATTTCCTTATTATAAAATTTTCTCCATCACTGGTCCATTGCTATAAATCAAACTTAAATCAGTCTTTGGAAGACCGCAGTGATGAAGTAATCTTATAAATTATTCAAGTGGTAGTGCAGTCTTAACATCTGGCTTGACAAGAACTTTATTTCCCATATAAAGAGCACCCATCATTTGTAAAACAGGGATTTCAAGCGGGAAATTGAATGGGGTAATGACACTAACTGCACCATATGGGAATCTATAGGCATTTGTGGATTAGCCCTAATGATCTCCTGGTGATCCAAATGATGAAGCAAGATACCTGACATTATCACCGCAAAAGTTCTTGAAAAAATCAATAGTAACTTATAATTCACCAGTTGCCTAGGCAGTTGACTTGGGGCAAACTCTTTAAATAGCTTTTATAAAGAAATCAAATACCTCTTTATCATTGAATGATTCAACTAATTTTCTGTTTACTTCAGCAAGCATAAGATATCTCTCCTTATTTTTGAAAGGATTATGTAGACCAGTCTTTGGAGTCTAAGCCATCTCATCAACAAAAGGTTTAATCTCATCTAATGAAGTATCTGCTTATGTTGCTATCACATTACCATTCATTGGGTCAATAAGTTAAGTCGTAGCTTTGGTAGAACTCCATACACCGTTTACTAAGTTCAGGCCTTAATCTTTCTTTGAGAGATTATTTGGATCTACAGTAGCAAAAGCTTTGATGATATTAGAGAATTATCTTTGATTTCTTTGAATCAAGTGGATATTTCTATATAGAGTTTTGGAAAGAAACATAGTTGTTTATTATTAATTACTTAATAAGTCATAAGATCACTCTAAATTAAAATTTTGACTATTGGGGTTTTGGGGTTTTGGGGTTTTGGGGAGATCGGAAGAGCACACGTCTG